ATAAGTTCTCAGTTCGGGAATCGAATCCGCACGTTTTGAGAAATAACACTAACATTATTTATTTTCTATCGAATATCCATTGTGTAGGTTATAAACAGTTGATATTACCTAGAAATATGGTATCTAAATTAATAAAGTTTTATTTTATCTAAAATTGTCATACCCTTTCATTTATTTACAGTACAGTAATTAAATTTTGCATCTTATATTATGTTCAACATCTACAGGTAGCATATAAAAATTATCGAGTTCAGCATTGAATCAGAGAAAACCAAGATTTTCTTCTGTGTCTCTGATTCAATGCTATGCAACTTTAAAAATATGTACTTGATTGGTGTATTGTGCACAAATTAACCAAGCCAAGGGGTCTACGTCGTGCTCTATTTTTGATTTGGTTACAGTTTTAAACAAACCATTTGTTTGTATTGGATATTACGTTTACTAGTTCATTCTGCCATCGGACCAAGACAGGAGCGTGCTGAGCACGAACGGGTAGGGAACTCTCCGTGCTCGGCTGGGTCTTGTTGACTCAAATCATTCCATACAAAGATTTAAATGTTTTTGCCCGACACGGCAAATAACTAAAGAATTCCAACTTGCAGTACCGCGACTAGCAATCATATCGTTAGCAATTTAAATTGATTACCGTCAATTTCTTCTGTTGACATTGTAAGTCAGTTAATATCTGTATTTGAGATAGTAGCTAGTTGAAAGCTTCTGTTTTGATTTATATGTAATGAAAGGGCGGTGATTTATTTATTGCGTTACTGTTAAACTGGGTTTAATGCCGTCCTGCGATTTCTACAAGCCGGTAAAGGTGTCGAATAAACTTGAAGGTCGCCGCAACAAAGAATATTGGATATCGAAAAGAATATTAAAGTGTTGTGATCAAATGTTTTTTACACAGTACTAGAGTACTAGATGATTCTTAAGAAAACTATACGTAGTCAGATACAAGAACTTTTTTTATCTCATTATATAATCTAAAATTTAGTGCGTAATTTTAGTGATAGGGTAATTAGTTTTTGGTCGATCAATACGTACTTTATATTGGATTTTATACTTGTAGTGAGAAAAAGTGGCGCCACCAGGAAATATTTTTGTCGGGGATCACCCATCTTTAGAATCCTTTCATTTTCACGTGCCATCTTGTTTCCTTTTTTGTTAATCACAGTGTATATCTAAGTTATTTATTTGTTTAAAACTCATTCAAAGTAGACAGTTAGTGACATTCTGCGTAATATCCTCTTAAGAGATTTGGTCGATCCAGCACTGCTCTGTTTTTTTTAATTAAACCTTGATTATTTTTAGAAATAGGCTTCATTTGATTGAACTTCTTTATTGTGATAGCGCTGCGCTCGACCATAACGCATTCGAGGCTCTTTATAATATACTCATAGAATAATTGCAGCGCGGCCCTGACAATGAGTATAGTGATTTATTACTGAGACGCATGTCTCCCTTTGACCATAGCACTATTAAATATAACGAGGTCATAAACTCTTTATACTGGCATAATTGAATATGTTTCCTGTAATATTAATAGTAAGTATTTATCATTAAAATCAATTGTTGATGTTTATATGTAATTACTTCTATTCAGTGGGTATAATTTTGGTTATTAAATTAAAGTTTTATTTTCATTAAGTTAAAGTGCTAATGGTGACACATGTAACGGCAAAAATTACCTTTAAATATTAACTCGAGAGAAAGAACTATTAACAAAAGTTTCCAATCTTAACACTCACCTTAGGCTGGTTAAAAAAAAGAGGGCATATCAATATCGGGTATGCTGAGATTCTTGCTAAGTGATGGAACTAATGTGATGCTTATTTTATTTGTTACAATTGTAATATAAAGAATCTTTTTTTTTATATTTTATTCCAGTTATATCGAGATGGGATCTCGTGGTAGGGCTGGTATTTTTCATTAAGAATAAAGAATATATGTTAGAGTGGCGATTTACCTTTAAGATTCCACTGAAATTGGTTGTGACCCAGTGGTGGGTCGCTAACCATAGTTTTGGAAATACTGACTTGAGATAGTGTCTGTCTCTGATAGTTCAATTCAATTGGAATCTCTCAATTCCGATTCGATCACCTGAAATCCTTTTTTTTCAAAGTATTTTTCTTTATCATAACTAATTGTAATCTTATAATTACCGGAACATGCATGAGTGTGTAAATACAGCTTAGAGCAAAAATCAGAAATGGTTTCAAGTTCACAAGAGGCAGACGACCTGTACTTGTTCATTTCTTTCTATGATATTCAGTTCTAGCTTGTAATTCTGTTCCGTATTGGTCTAACCACATTTCTATTACATACAAACATTGTGAGCAGATGATTTAATATACTGTACTCATTAGGTGTTTCGTATAAACTACAAAACGATCCGCAAAACCGGATGCATCTTAGCATGCTCTGACATACAATACATTTGGTTTTTACCTTTTGCCAATTTGCCGTACTGGCCATTTCAAATTAAAGTATTTTATTTAAAAAAAAAAGAAATGGAATTCTTTTTCGGAATTAGACAATTGTTTAACGTTGTTAACGTCAACGCCGTTTAGCCTACGAGTACTTATTACAAATAAATGCACCGCCTTTTATTGGTTTGTCCACTTTCGTTCTGAAAATTTCGCCCTGAAAAAGCTACCAAAAGGTCTTTTACATCCGTAAACTTTATCATCAAAAGCCGATTGTGGGAACTGATAATATTAAATTCACATCTGAATTAGCTGGTCATCCACCGTACTAACCAGATTGCGCCCAAGGCCTGTCTATTTGCATAAATTTTGTAGCGGGAAAACAAATTAATATACGAGTGGCAGTACTAAATGTCTTTGAGTGTTTGAAGAATTTGTTGCCTTTCGTCCGTTCTTTAACAAGGACATCAATAAGTTATCACTGCGTAAGAAAGCAAAGATGCATCAATTATGTTTTTAAAACCGAACATGTCTTAAAAGTATGAATATAATATACAAAAGGTGGGCAACTTTTATATGTATTTTATTGGCTTATAGTATATAAGTATTTCTTTAAATTTGGGTACTTAAAAAGCTGAATGAAGCTGAAAAATAATGAATAAATATTGGGCCAGTCACTTTTTGAAGTAGATCCTGAGATATAGAGTATCAAGTTTTTTTAATTTGACTGTCAATATACAAAATTTTATGAATCGATTTTTAATTCTTTTATATTTTTGGTGCTTAGAGTATATTCTCTACTACAATGAAGACTAAATGAAGACTAAATTTCCAGGAATATTTATTGTTAATATACCACAATAATAATGTTTTATATATTTTTTTACATTTAGCATGGATTTATTTTATATATATAAGTGATAGTTTTCAGTTAACTTAAACATTTTTTTTCTTGATTGTAGTCATATCCTCTCGTCATGATTGTCATCTAAGCTCATTCCATATCATGGTGGTATAGACTCGAACTATTTCCATTTCGATATGTTTTCGGTAACTTTTGTTCAATTTGTGCCGCTGCATATGTGTTTTTCCGTTAGATCTTTTTAGGTGCCATCATCGTCTCTGTTCCTTAACTTTTCTGATTGTCTGTCCAGATGTCCTCCAGCTTTCGAATGCGGAGCGTGATATTCACCAGACTTCACTACATTGCTCTTTGTGCTACTTCTAGCTTGTGGATGATGGTCTTGATCCTAACTAAAGTATCAGCTCCACAGTTGAGCATTAGTTGAAGATTAAAATACATTTAAAATTATGGTTAAATATTCAGATTGTTTTTTTTTTATGCTAATGTTTAACACACAGCCGTCCGATTGAAAATTTTGGGATCGTGACGTGTAAAAAATCAAACATATTTATGATTCATTGTATTATTTAAGCTAACATTAACACTAATTTTAAAGAAAGTTACGACTAAATAAAACATAAACAAATCAATCACCAAAATAAAATAACGTTCTATTGATTGGTGACATCGAGTTTAAATCATAATGTTATTATGTTAAGGTGTTGATTAATTTATAATAGCTGGTAATCTTTAGACGCCGGCCCTGTGCTATGCTGTATATAAATATATAGTACGTACTGTACATGATTTGGTGCTCAGTGTTCAGGTGTAGTGAGCTCTGGTAGTTAGTTACATTGGATGAGAAATCTTACTGTAAGTTAATATAATAGTATTTATGGATACAGTTTCAGATATTTTTAAATGGCAAAAGTTAAATAATTCAAATAACTTACCGAAATGTGCATTTTTACATAATTCACATAAAAATATATTAATTAATCATCAGTCTTTTAATGTTTCCACTGTTAACCATGTGGTATTGACCTTCATTGTTGAGAGAATCGAATTGAATGAAAAAGAATTTGTAAAGGAATGTACCCTTTTTTAAAGCCGTTTGTTAATAAAAATTGATTAATTGCAGTGCCAAGCAAGAAGTATATTATTTTAATTCAATGTATATAAGTGTGGGTCTGTTGTGTGTGGTGGTGGCGTGCGTATATGCATGGATGTGGAGACACAGCCGGCGTGCGCGCATCCACCTGAGCCATCTGCCTACGTTCCCCTATTTGCCATTCTTTGGAAACCTTCACAATTTCTATGGTGGAGGTGAAGGTAATAAACTTATTTGTCATCTATAAATTAAAATGTATTTCTTCAGGACATAATATTTATTTTAAAATAGTCAATCAAAAGTCAAATGCAGAAGCTCCTTTAAAATGAGGTGGTTGATTTATGAAAATAATTCATTCGTGGTCAGATCTATGACCTCTTTATTTGTCAGTGATTAGCGATAGAGTAATAAGTTTTGGTAGATAATAATTACATACTCTTCTAATTTGTGTTTTATACTTGTAATAAGAAAAAATGGTGCCCCTGATCTGATGCTAGGGAACTTTTCTCAGGAATCACCCAGGTAACTTCGACTGTAAATAATATAATCTAACTATAACATAGTAGCGATACTTAATATTTCAGTTATATATCGTAAAGTTATTGAGATGACTCGCATAATGGATGAGAAAAATCTACCACTACTGGTGTGGATGGCGCATGTTCCCGTGGTCAGTGAGTATTTCCTCCTCGACTTCATAAACCATCAACTGTCAATTTGTTCGATTTCTTGCTTTGGCCAACATTATGCAGCTCGTCTCTAATTAAAGACTATAGAATATAGTTTAGCAAACGCTTATCGTGTAGTGTACGGTAGGTGAAAGAATTTTCATGATCGGAACACTATTTCCGAAGATCACCCCATTACAAACAAAGTTTACCCCTTTATATCTCTAATAGTATACATTGTTATACCTTTGAGTATAATATAATATTATAATCTCTACTACACATGATCCTAATTATATTTTTAGTACACATATTACGTTTTGACTGTTGCAGCGTTAATCGATCTGGACGATGTTAAAGCGGTGACAAACGCTTTCGTGCAGAAACCATATCACTATAACTTTGGTCGCATTTGGCTAGGAAATGGACTAGTCACTGCTCCAAGTAAGAAGTTTAATTATATTTCAATATTTACTCTCGATTATGTTAAGCGGCCGACGTAGTGTGTTAACTTTTTCGGAAATATTATTTTATTTGCGATTCTATTGGCAATTTAAGTTTTCGTACATTTTTTCTACATTTACCTATATCACGTCCACATATTAATTGCCACCTTTTTAACTGTTCCGAGAATTTATTAGCATGAAATTGAGAATTTTACTAATTTTGATATTTTTTATGCAGCATCTATATGGAAGTATAGTATCAAGAAGATAGGTGGAACTTTCACAAGTAACATAGTCAATGGTTACCAAGAGGTGTTCAATCGGCAAGCGCAGAAGTTGGTCATCACACTTAGAGGAAAAGTCGGTAGTCCACCGTTCAATATTATTGATCATCTGGCTTTTACTACTCTGGAAACTATATGCCGTGAGTAAAGCTCAAACTTGTAGTAAGTTTGATCATCTAAAATACACACTATAACATTTGATATTATGGATTTGATTATAACCCAGAAACGGCGTTAGGCGTGCCAGACCTAAAATGTTTCGTCACAGAAGAGTATTACCAGGCTTTCACCGAGTCCCTAGAATTACTTCTAGAGCGTTTTCTAAACCCTTTGATGCATGTTGACGCGATCTACAAGCTCACGCCACAGTACAGGCGGATGAAGAAAAGTGTCTCTATATTACACAACGTTTCTAAAACTGTAGGTACATTTTAATTATTATTTTTTTATTTATCTAAATTCAACCACCACCACCCACCAAACCCACAAAACTTATAAACAATATCTTTAGGCCAAATTCCAATAATTACTTTTGATACTTTCAAACATACCATTACGTGAACATGAAGAGAATGTGGATTAAGAAATTGGCGCCTGAGATATACAAAAATTTTGAGCCCTGACTTGACTGTAAGACTGTAATCATCTTTAACGCACGGGGTCTCAATAACAGTAGGCCGTCTTAGGCCTGCTACTTTTTCAGTAAACTGTTAAATGTACTCAGTTGATAATTAGATCAGAGTTAATTATAATGCATCACATTCTTTCAGAAAACTTGTGGTATTGCTTTTTGGTAATTTAGCCTTCATTGCATTCTGCTTTAGGTTTGTTAGCGACAACAAACCAAATATAAAGGAAGATTCTTTTATTATTTTGATGAAATAACAGTAAAATATTGTGAATGAGATAATAAATGAATATTTCAGGCCATAAATAAGAGGTATAATGAATGGAAAGAAAAAAAGATGCAGAAGGGCAAGGATAGAGAAGAAAATGGTATGTACTTACATTTTATAATTTTTCTTGGTAATATGATGCTCGTAAGAAAACATATAGTAAGGAAAAAATATCTATTTATTGGTAGAATCAATTAAAATGTATCAAATAATGGATCTTTAGATAGACAACGCTTTACACCAGAACATTCTATATTATAACTTATTTTTTCCTTAGAATTTCCTGACAAAAAATTCAAATCGTTCCTGGACGTACTATTGGAATTAAGCAGCGAGGACCCTCACTTCTCTCCTGAGCAGATTCAAGCTGAAGTGGACACAATTATAGTGGGTGGACAGGAGACCACGGCTAGGAGCTTATTGTTCATTTTATTAATGATCGGCTGCAAGAAACAAATACATGAGAAGCTATCTGCTGAGTGAGCTTGGTTTTATTGTATTTCATTAGCTTGATAGTGAGGTGTTAGTGAGCGTATTCAATTTATATAAGCTAAATATCAATCTTTATAAATATTTTTTTATATATTTATTTGTATTGATTATGCTCAAAAACGAATAAACCAATTTAAAAGAAAAAATTCACTCAATACTACATTTACGCTGGTGTCATCGGCTAAAATTTTTGTAAGAGTCGTGAAAAAAGCACAACCAAAAACTTCAGCTCCCATTTTCATACTTTTAAGTGCTGGTTATCGGGATTAAATATAACCTATTACCTTCCCTGGGTCTTAAACTACTCAATTACCAGTTTTCACTGAACGTTTTCACCTTTTCTAAATCCTCATCGGGATGGAATTGCCAAAAATCCGTTCATGGCTCTACATAATAAGAGAAATGTACCTTCCAAATTTCAAGTCGCTACGACCAGTGCTTTAGGCTGTGCATTTTCTGTCGGTCAGTATGTCAGGACATCTCCTTTAAATATGTTTGAAAAATCTAAAGAGGAAACATTTGATTATTTGTTCGTTTCTTTGCATTGAATAGATTATGAAACTACCTACATCATACCCAGACTTTATATACAATTTGTGAATACAGCTAGAAGATAAAGCTACAACATAAGTTTATTAATTCAAAAATAAGTTTATATGTGTTTAGAAAAATAATAGCAGCGAAATTTTATACATGTAGGGTGTGATTAGGAGAGTGCTCTGTTTGATTTAGAAGAATGTAACCAAGGTAACTATGTATTGTCATTTAACACTGCTCTTCCATATTTCGGAAGGTACAAAAAGCCATCGGTACCGGGTGCATCTGTTGTTGTTTACACAAATTAATCTGTGTTGGAGCTGCGTCTTGGGTAAATAGTCCGTTCTTCATTTGTGTGCGATTGTTCTTCGTGTGTGAAATGTTTGTGCCCCAACAGTAGGTTGACGATGAAGATGAGTATGAATAAAGATAACACAAAAAATAATGTCTGCATTATGGTTCCGTCACAGGATCCAAGAAATTTTCGGCGATAGTACCAGGCCGGTGAAGCATGAGGACTTGCTTCGGATGACTTACTGCGAAGCAGTTATTATGGAGGCATTGCGACTGTTCCCACCCATCCCATATGTCGCTAGGCAAGCAGACAAAGACCTACAGCTCAGTGAGTACTCGATTTTAACCTAAATAGCTACCGTGATTTAGGAAGAGTAAAAACTATGACAGATACATAGGCCATATTTATTTATTTTCAATAGAGTGTTAGTATTTTTAATTAGCTATTCTGTCTTTCAGAATCTTGTTTAGTTCCAAAAGGAACTATGTGTGGTTTGCTCATTTTGGGCGCGGGGAGGTCACATCGTATTTGGGGTCCTGATGCTGACCAGTACCGCCCGGAGAGATGGCTACAACCTGACGTGGATACGACTGCTTTTTACCCGTTTAGTTACGGAAGGAGATCTTGTATAGGTACATATTATTTTAACCTCAGTATCTGGAAAATGATCGACCTTTAAAGTAAAGAGTTTAGCGTTTGGTCTGCGATTGCAGAGGTTAAGATATTTTCATGAAAGTCAATCGTTGAATGGGTGGTCAAAATCTTTTTTCACTAGCTACTCCGTATTTCAGAATTGATCCATATTAAGTAAAATATTATGTTATTGCTTATACCAGTTTTGAAATGCACTATTGATAGAAAAAAAACTGTTAATGCTCTTTAATGTTTTAGGTAAAAAGTATTCCATGGCTTTAATGAAAACTATGTTGGCGCATTGTATCAGGGAGTTTAATTTTACATCGAACGCTGAAAATTTAAGACTAAGTGCTCATATCACTCTGGAACCCCTTACAGGCAATCTTCTGCAAGTGCATTCCAGGAAATTATTAGACAAGCCTGTTAAAGCATGAGAACTAAATGGCGACAGTACACCTTTTTTTGGGTTTGGTAATACGCGTCAATATTTGGTCACTTCAGGTTGACCGGTGGAGGTGTCTGGTTGGTGTGCCAGATTGTCAAATCTAATCATTCTTTATTGTGTAGGAACTGATGAACATTATGGGTGACATTCTGACGATTGTTATTAATATATGACATTAAGTTCTGCATTCTAAGCGCATATTTACAATAATGTGCAAAATTTAAAGAATAATTAAAACATTTCAAAATTATAGCATACAATAAACTTAGTTTTGAATGTGAAAACAATGATACTGTTCATAATCAAAATATTCTTTTACGTTACAAAAAGTTATATGAACATATTTTTCATTGCTGTTTTAAATATATGTTTAAGACAATTTTTTAAACGAGTTGGACAGCTTGTTTTAGGTTTACAATAGGAACTGAATTTGCAGACATTCATTTCTTTGTGTTTTGTTAAGCAAGACGTGACTATATTATATGCACTAATACACAAACACTCAGTATGTAAAGATATGGTCCTTCATTTTTTTGAAACTCTTACGAAGTTATAGTGAAATAAATATGAAATGTTATTTCTTATATCGTATTTGTTTCATTTTGTATAACTATGTTGCAGTTGCAAATATTTTTGAACTATTCTGATTATGTTTATGGCTAAGGTAAAATTTTATATATTCGTCTAGGCCATTGTGGATCTTAAAGCTGTATAAGCTGAGTAAATAGACTTAATAACGTTCATTAAGCAACTAAAGCTGAGGATTGTGACGCCACCAGCAGATATGACCAGGGTCTTTTGAGAGTTCTTCAGAACCATTAATACTGTCTTCATATTTGCGGAGTTGAAGTTCTCCCATTTGCAATCATAAACTGCTTTCTCGAACACATCGCACGCGTCCATCATCCGTTGACCTACAAAACAGTCCATAGCTACTTGCATTAACGCGTACGGTACATCAATATAAGTATTCTCCAAGCCTCCGAGCAGTTCAGCTATCAAGCTAGCAGTAAGTAAAGAGAACTCCACAGCTAAGGCGTCTCGGAACGCGAACTCTATTTGGCGAGTTACAGTAAGAGTTGTTGTGTGTATCATAATAATATTTTGAAGGCGTTGTTTTATGAAATTATTCATAATTTGATCTTTATTTAAGAGGTAGTCTATGTGGCCATTTAAGGTAAAATCTGTATCCACATCTATGTTAGGTAAATTATTTTCATAGAATTGTTTAGCATCCTCCCAGAGGTGTAATAGTTCTTCACTGAGGGCTAACATAGTGGCTTCTGTGTAACCGATGATTATTATGAAGAATGACGTAACATTAGCAGGTACGTAACATGTGTAAAATACCCCCATTGTGGCCATTGCGAATGAAATTTCATAGTTTGGAGACTCAAACATTGGTTCTAGTCCTGAAAATGAAAGTGATGACACTCAAATAGTAGAAAAGAAATTGAACTATTGGAATAATTGGATTCTCGGGAATTACCCAATAATATGAAGATATCTTCCATGATATGCCTTCCGGGTTGAATGATGGGCTTGGCAACGTAAATGACCCCGTTGACTATTATTACTAACCAGAATATCATAGCGCGTTTCTTCACTGTCTTCAGGTTCTTAAGTAAGTTGTTGGAAAAGCGACTACCTTTTATAATAGTAGCGTCGTGCTTTAGATACTCGTCGACAATTTTCTTTATAGTTTCCCTAAAAAGTTTTTTAAAACTATAAACAAGATATCTTATTAACTTTAACTAATTTCAAGAGTTTTTAATTAAACTTAATGCAAAATGCTTTTGACGAATTTTTCAAGCACTTGTTAATAAATCATTGCAAAGAAGAACAAATTATATTTGGAAAAAATGACAACTGGAAAGAAAACATGTTGGTTTCATTGTGTTATCTTGAATATTATTTACTTATGGAGAAACATGTTAAGGAGCTTGCAGGTACTCATCTCACTCGAGATGCCGAGTGAGAGGACAATCATGGCAGCTATCCTGTCGCCTGTCTCTCTGCAGCGCCAGAACACAAACCAGATCATCGATACAAAGTACACGTAGAAGTAGCAGGCTGCTGTTATAATCGTGAAGATGTAGGATATTATCGGAATACCTGTACAGACAATACAAGTTTTATAAAATTCTTTTTGTTTCTATTTTTATTTATTTCATTAATTGTTTTTAAGTTTTATATAAATTTACTTTTCTTGTGCCTGCTGTCAATGTTGAGGGTTAAGACTCTGAGCATGGGCGAGATATTAGCCAACATGGTGGACAGGTCGCAGAACTGCAACCCGAACTTACGGACACAATCCCACATTTTAAAGTTGACCAGTCTTGTGATTAAACAATATTGAAAGATGCTATCAAGTGAAAAATCTTTTAGGTGTCAATAACACTGAAAGTGAAGTAAATGTTAATAAAAGAAAGTAGTTAAATTAACTGAAGATGTCGCAATATGTGATATTCGAAGTGTGATTTTGGAGAAATAAAACAAATTTTGGTTCTTGTGAGTGATTGATTATGATTACAAGAATTCTAATTAGACAAACGATTGTTTGAAATGAATAAAAAATATAAGTATTCAACCATCTCTGTGGTCACGGGTTCATTCATTTAGAAATATAAATGAACTCTTCTATATTGTCTAGTGTTATCTTCGTTGTTTCAAAAACCCATAACAAAAGGGTTTTACTTATTTATTTTAAAAAAACACTAATTACAGAAAATACCTAATCAAAATGGATTAAAAATATGACTTAATTTGGTAATGACTCCACATAATGTTGCTATACATGGTGTAGTCACGTTTCTGAGGTCTCGCGTGAGCAAAGTAGTTTCATTCGTTTATTGTACGTTTACTCCCAGTAATAATTATCGGGAAATACCCACCTTAGTATTTCTCGTTGCTTACATATCGTGATAAACTTATGACGACGAAGTTAATCTCATCGTTCTTCACATCAGTTAACTATCACTCATATTTTTGCTATCAGTGAAGCAGAATAATAACTACCTGCAACCAAAGATTCAACCTGTATTTGTATAATGTTTCTCGTTTAGTTTGTATAATGACTTAAGTGTTATACATATTACTCGTATTTTGTTATGAGCAACATCAGAAAGTAAAGTTGTAAGTTTAACTTCGGGTTATACCTACCATTGGTTTGGCAAAGAACGATATAAGTAGCTTTTTATATATTCTATGTTGGCCATTTTTTCTACTCTACTTAATTGTAAGTTCTGAGCGTACGTAGTATATGTTAAGGTCGTGCGTCTCGTCTGTTTGTGTAAAGTCGTTAAATTGAATGGAAAATAAATTATATTCAGTTTTCTAATTTCATTTTAATAGATAGAAATATTTTATCTCTCAGCTATAGATATTGAGAGCGATGACATAACAGTGACAGTAACTATATATTGATATATAACCAGTATCGACGTTTCAGGTAAGTTTTTACTTACGTTTCAGTAATTGGGCGATTCAAAAGTGCTTGTAATAGCCTACTTGAATAAAGAGATATTTTCATTTAAAAAAAAAAGATATTTTCATTTCATTTCACTGTTTTACTCAGATACCTGAAAAAATATTATATTCTGAAAAAATAGTTCATTTTAATGAAACAAGTTACCAAATACAGTGCAATCTAACGACCTTATTACATAATAAAACATAAATTAAGACAATAACAGATAAGGCTGGTACGATGTCCACTACGACGGTTATTATGTTTAGCCTAAGAATATACTTTTTCATTTAGAAATTGATCTTAGGCCAAGACATACGCTGATTAGAAAAATAATGACTTTTAATTAGTAAGATTTGAGTCTTAAAATAAATTTATTTCAATGTAATTTTTTCCAAACTCCATGAATTATTTTTCACTACCAAATCTACATTATTGTTTTGGACTTCAACAAGGTAACGCAGGTTATATGTATTAATTACGAAAATATAATGTTTCACACGCTTTTTTCTCTCTTGTGGGTGAGTTGTTGCTTTTCTCGCTATTGAGAGGAATAGCTTTATCAGTGAACTTCAATCTTGGTTCTGTTGATTTTATAAAATAATATATATCCCTGAAGAGACATCATAGGTAATAAACTGTCGACGAGTGAACCCATATTGGTAAACATGTTTATTTTTCATAAATAAGTACTTGACACGAATACAAAATTGAATGATTGACATTCCAACAGTTTAATTATATTTAATTGCCATTAATTAGTGTTTATTGGGGTTTACTTTCTTTGTACAGTCAAGAACACGTCAAATTTATTAAATTTATTCACTTGATTTTAAATCTTAATGCCATTTATGGTAGAGTTATAATCGTTTGCGAATATTTGATATATTGTGGTAACCTGAAGTGCTGCTGTGTGTACATGAGATGTAGAATTGTAGATAATATAGATCAAGTAGATTTCTAGCGTCACGAACAATGGAAAAGAAATTAATTATGAAAATTTTGCCGTTGCATTGTGAAAACGGTGTTTGAGTCGCCATTTGGGTTTCGATATTAAAAAATGATTACATAATGTACAATTTCTGTTCTGCATTTACAAAAGCGTTGGGAAACTGACAACGCCGTATTCAATATTGTAGTGCAAGGATGCTACGGAACTGTTCGTAGCATTCTAATGTTCCGTAGCCGTAGTCAGTGTTCACCAAAGAGTACAGTAATAATACGGAAAAAGAGTGCCCTCTCGCGTGTATTTAGTGCCAATCAGAATTGAAGCGCCATCTGCATTACTTCCCCAAAAACTATTGCTATATAGGTATACCTATAGTAGGTATGTATTATAGTTATAGGATTCTTTCTTCGCGCCACTCGAAAAATACAAACTGTAAAGACTGAGTAAAACTTTTAAAAGAAAATTGAGCATAATGAACAACTTTCTTTTAAAAGTTTTACTATGGTTTTTACAGTTTGTATTTTTCGAGCGACGATAACAAAAAGAGGACAAAAACTTGAAAAAGAAACGACATTGTTCACTTATTATAAGTTGTTTATTTCGATAAGTTAAACAAATGCATACAGCACATGATCAGCATAGTCATTCATAAAAAATACAAGTATACATTTTATTATTTTCTGTTTTTGTATTGTTTCCTCTTATTATAATATACTTGCGCTGTCAATTTGGTCTCGTCATCACCCTGGTAATTAATTCTTCCACTCAAAATTCTATTTACTGACTTGCACCAATTATAAATAATTAAATGTACAGTTGTTTTAACAAAATGTTAATAAAAACAATCAGTGTGATAAGAACAAGAACACACAGGAGGCAGTTACAAATAATTTTACAACAAAGTATATTTCCTGATATATTACTTTTGGTAAAAAAAAAATTTAACGTTATGTGAGTAATATTTTGCATATCACGGAAGCAATTTTCTAGTAGAGTACTTGGATAACATAACCAATTTTTATATTCTTTTGATTTTATAAATGTATTATGTAGGTTCTCTCCATTTTTATCTTGCGATATATTGCTGCATGCATTGCATTTCGCCTTTTTCAAATATTTTCTTAATGCCCATCCACATACATAGTTAATTTGACCGGCGTCACTATTCTCATTAGAGCCCATTATAATATTTTAATTAATAAATATTTCACTATCATTTTTGGGAATATCAGTAGTTTTTTAAATTTCCTGTTAAAAAAATTATGTTTTGTAGACATTGATTATAATCTGCCTCACAGTTTATTTTGAGTGAATGAGGCGTGTTGAAATATTTAATAGCAATGATTTATACGCTCCTTCAAATCCAACAGTGTTAGGAGCTATGTTTCTAACTCCTGATATTCCCAAAGAAGTTTTCAATGGGGTCTTGATTTAAATTGTTAGTCAACAAACAATCTAACCTATAGTTTTGATACAAAACCTTCCAAATTGCCTCCATGTTTTCAATTGTTTTTATAAAATTTTTGGATGAAGGAATTACACTTTCTGTTGCAATGACTTGACCAGCAATATTTTGTTTTTTTTTTATGAATTTTACACTATGCAAAATTTTTTTTGCTCTAGTCCATAACTCGTGATGGGTGAGATTCGCTTTACCGGACCTTTATAAATTTTTCCATTGGGAATGTTTAGCGTGTTGATATTTAGACTGTCAAATAAATCATCAATTAATAATGTTATGTTCACCAGTTGACGACACTCTTCTTGCAAATCTCCTCGCGCCGTAAGGTGCTCAGCAACTACAGCAATACTGTGACTGAATACTTGTGTTGCTAATTTCACTCTCATTTTATTATTTTTTTCAGGATCAATGTGTTCCTCCGTTAGTTTATTTAATAATCTTAATTCTCCATAGCATTTATCTGCCGCATAAACTTTTTGGTAATATAATCAGCAACTGTAAAATAAAAAAGAAACCTTTTGTGTACTGTTTATAATAAAGGTCCATGATAATAGTTTTTAAAATTATTTACTATAACTGTTTAAATTAAATACCTTGTGGAGGTGCGTTCTTTTAGATCTGCTACACGAACTATAGTTATGTTCCCTGATGATATCTTCTACATAAGGGATGTACTGAGAGTCAACTGAAAATTAAAGATATATCTATATTATTAATACCAAAAAATAATCTATGTCTTCAACTAGTATTTGAGAACGAAATCAATTATTTATATCAGAAATGATTGTAGTATCTACTTCTATTTAGTAATTTTTTCTCGCTCTTACATTTTCCACAGAAAACTACTGACTATATATATGTTTAGTAGTATAACTTGTAGTCTTTAGTTGTATAACTATATAATCTTCATAAATTAGATTATAATCTTTGTATCAATTTTTAGAGATTATAATAAAATTGTAATTAAACATTGCTAAATATATAAAATAATGGTTATATTAATTACTTGGTATACAAATTAAACTTAATGAGAAAAAAAACTTTATTTGAGTGATATATAGAATGATGGTTATATTAACAAAAATTAAAACAGGTGAACTTTATATAAGTGCTAAATGAATTGTTTTTAGGCGTCTTGAATATTATATATGTTGATATAAAAAAAAATGAATATTACTTAATACAAGTCTTATTTTAAACAAAATTCGACCTCCGTAGGCGAGTGGTTCGCACGCCGGTTTCAAGGTGTCGCCATCTCTGAGGTCCCGGGTTCGTTTCCCGGTCGGGTCAATGTAGAAAATGAACTTTTCTTTATTGACTCGGGTCTGGGTGTTGTGGTACCTTCGTTGTCTCAGATACTCCATAATACGGGGGCTTTAGCTACTCATCTTGGAATCTGAGCAATGTATGTGATGTTGTTAAATATTTATTTATTTATATATTCATTCACCTCCACCTAATATAAGATCACACTGAGCTAATTAAATGTCTTGTTAATGTCAGTCAGTAAATGTCAATAGTCATTATTTCAAATGTACATTTTATAATAATAAAATTATTGATATGAAATTATATAAAAAGTTATTATAATAATTAAGCATACCCAGTATACTAGTGTGTATTAATAATTATTTATTTACCTGAAGAGGACATTTGGGAAGATTGCAATTTATCATGAGATTGGTTGCCATACTTTGAAGAATACAAACTTTCCTCTGTCATTGTTGGAAACAAACCTGTAATAAAAATGAACAATTATGTAATTTCTTCCATAAAAAATAGATTATTAAAATCTTTATTTTAAATTTAATTCAAATTTATAGTTCCAAGTTAAATTTACCTGAACTTCTTGACAATTGACTATTTTCTTCATTAGGAGCAACTGGGAGCTCCTCAAGAATTCCCCTTGAACCTGGAAATTATAAAAATACTCTTTTGAGTTTTACTAAAACAATAACTATACATGGTTGGTTGGATATGTAATGGTTATTGGTGGTAATTTTTATATACAGTAGAAATTAGAAAACATCATGTGATTGATCAATATATTAAATTGAATCATTACAAATCTAGCTGTGCTCGTGACTTTTAGGAAAGTGTATGTATAGAATTTAGTAATATTATAATTTGTCCTGTTACTATTACTAAGCCAACATAGATTTGGAGTTTTTTTTTTGTTTTGTTTATTTGGGTCAACAAACAGTTTTACAATAGCATTCCAATTTATGATATGATGTACACAGTTTTATAATTGCAAAAGCAACGTTAACTACAAGTTACTATGAGTAGTTGAAAGTTGCATATGTTATCAGCTTAAACACTTACTAAGAAAAATGAACACTACACAAACAAAACTGTTACAAATATGATAATATATATTACTTTATGATGATATGGCATTGCAATTTAGTTCACTTATTCTTTCTTAACTAACTCTTTGAATTTTGTTTTGTTTAAATTGAATATGTCGATTTCATGTAAACCATGGTTATAAAATTTTGCTACTCAATGCACTGGAGATCTCTTGCCTGTATTTGTATAAAATTTAAATATAGCAAACAGTTAGTGTTTACGCAGGGAAATCGTTTGCGCCCGCTTAGGTACTAAATAATTAATTTTATTTATTAATTCAATACAGTCATACTCACTGTGACATATATTAAATAAGCCAACCGCTTTCAGGTATTGCCGTCTAGATTTTAAATCTGTCAATCGGGGCCATACTAATTAATGTTCACATGACACACAAGCACATCTGCACCTATATGGAGTTTGTCAAAACATAGCCCATCCTTTTTTTATTCCCATTGTTTCATAATGTTTGTTTCATTACACATTTTTATGTTATTCCTAAGATTTGTGCCTAAAGCGATTTCTAAACTTTTACTGTATTTCAAAATAAACATACATACCCTGTTAATTCACTGATGGGACAGCCAAAGCATTCAGACGTCTAAAACGACTTGTATGTCTGTGTATAAAATGAATATCGCAAACTTTTTCCTTCTGTTTCCAGTTTTCCACCAACCAATGTAACCCAAGCTTTGAAACGTTCAGAAAACTTCAGGTTTTGGGAATGAGTGCATAGTGACATCTGAAACAGGAAGTCATGGCAATATTATAGACATTAAAGATATAGCCATTATATAGTTATTATCTCATTCTTTCCACTTTATACGGTGTGTTATAGAAACTTATTGGTTATTTTTGTTTCGTTAGTGTGTTGATAAGAAGGAAAATAAATAATTGATAACCCCATTGTTAAAGTCAATTAAAAACATGATGTGAGTTAGCTGCATTGAAGTTTAATAGATTATTATTATGCTTACCACTAGGTGTCGTCCGAAAGAACAAAGTCGGGGCATTACGACAATAATAATCTTAACACAAAACAAACTTAAATAAGCGTCCTGTCGCGATAAAGTTCTGAAACTACAGAAATCCACAGCACAAATACACGGTAAGGTGGAGAAGAATAAATCTCAACTCGACACACTTAACTTGAGGTTTTGTAGCCACTAGAACAAAATGACGAAGGCAAAATACAAATATATGAACGCAAGAGCACAGTAATCGCCATATTGATTTTGACAAATTGATCCAAATAAGTAAAAAATTTCGTCTTTTCGAGAGTGCGTGTAGCGTCATCTAGTATTGTTTATGCACACCTGGTAGTACTCATAATAGTTTTGGGGAAATAAAATGGATGTCGCTACTATCTTTGCAAAATTATGGCTACTAAGGGAGTGTCCCCCCCGTGGTGTTCACTATCTTTCTTTTTTTAACAAGATTTGTAATCATTGTACACATAACGAAGAAGTATTAAAAAAAAAGAAAGCACGTCACTAGATGGCGACTCTAGCAAAAGTTGATTTTTGCAGGAAACGAATGGGCTAAAGATCCTTCCTCCGTTCCTTTTAACTAACATATCAAAAACTGAAATTTGCAAAGTTCGAAACTTCGAAAAAAAAAATGGAGTATGAGTTGTTTATTGAGTTTTGAAAATTCATTTATTTTTATGCATGAAAGAAGACCGTAAAGGTTGTCATGGAGATATCAAGAACGTTCGGGAACTACCTTTTTTTAAATACTTCCTCATCGTTTCCTATGGTTTAGTATCGGCAATAGAACGCATTTAAAAATATATTCTTTACTAACACATTAATATTGAAATTGCGAACTTAATTATTATTGACGTGGATATGTCTATGTTTTCGTTCTACAGGGGGGTCATTCTGTGAGCAGGAGTATATGCACTAACGCCATCTATTGGCGAATAAGTGAACTATGCTTGCTCTGCAGGGGGAGGGGCATTCTGTCAGCAGGAGTATATGCACTAACGCCATCTGTTGGCGCTAGTGAATACTTTTTTCATTCAACAAATGAACGCAACGAATATTTATTTATTTAGTGTTTAGTGTCTTCAATTTGTTTATTTATTTTTTTATCAGTTACTCATATATCCATTCATACATAGACGTATCCACGCATAAAATATGGCTGTATCAATGATACAGCCAACCAGGGTTTTTTCAATAATACAGACTAAACAGATTTATATTTAACAATGTAATAATAAATTATGTTATTAATCAATACATCCGGCCAGCCATTTCATGAAACGGCCACCTAAAATTCAACATATCGTTAAAGCATCAACGTTTAATGATGTGGCAAACCTCGTTCGATCATATAATCATTGTAAGGTGTCCAAAAAAGAAAACTTTTTTTATGGGATAGGGGGCAGACGAACAGACGGATCACCTGATGGTAAGTGATTACCGTCGCCCATGGATACCTGCAACACCAGAGGGGCTACGCCGCCGGCCTTTGAAGGACTAATATATTAAACTAATTATTTTTAGTGCTAGCGTTATGATTTTGTGGTCTGAAAAAAAATTACCTAAAGTCGTCTTTAATTTTGTCACCGTACCTTCGCACTACACTACTACCATTAAATTTTTAACAAATACATTTATAAATTTGTGTATAAAATCTACACTTATATTCCGGATGTTGGAGGCCTGGTGACCTGTAAAACGGGTTTTACACTCAAGTGCAGGCACCAGTCTCCACGATAAATTCTGATGTCCTTGAAACGCTCTGCACGTTTGTACATTTTTTGATATTGTGGAGAAAAATAAAGAAATATATATATATATATATATAACGGCGGGTAGTCCGAATGGGCTATTACGAAGCCCAAATAGATCGTCCATATCGGAGGACTATCTTTAAAATAACACTGCAGGCGTGTATACCAACGTGGATTTGTTCCATTTTATCATTTTTCACACGAAAATATAACGAGATGAGCGTGATGTCATCAGATGTCTTTACTCCTCGGCGATCGGAAACAGAATGTCTGCCAAAATGGCGGCAACTTGCTTTTTATTAACGAACTGTCAAAGTCAGTGTCACCATTCTAATAAAATTAAGGGTATCGATGATCACGCTCTCTTTACAATCGAGTAATCAAGTAATCGAATAACTAGCAATTAAAATAAAAGAAACTAAATCAAACGATCTTCGTAATGGTGATGCGACATATATAAAAAAAAAACAATAATACGAATTATTAGTGAAGGAGACGATATGAAGACATTTTGGTAAAAATAGGAACCGTGAAAAGAAGAAAGTAAATTAAAGCTGATTTGATTTAGACGCGTAAGCGTAATACCAGTTGCAATATTAGTAGATATTAGCAATAAAGAAATTCTTAAAGTAAACCTTCTTTTATTTATTCGTGTTAGATTCCGAGTCACATAAAATATTATTGGGTTTTTATCTGGGCCAGGCGCTGTCCCGTCAAAATATTAGATGTTGGTAATATAAAGTGCACAGTTATAAGTTTCTTTATTTTGTCCCACGCAGATGGCTAATATATGTCAATGAGACAGTCATTGAGAAGTGTTTATTATATTAAAAATATAACAAGTATCAAGACATCTTTATTTAGGCTATATCTTATTGAAAAATAATAATTTTAAAACGAATCATTTAACAAGCAACATTTTACAACTTTCATCCATGTTTTCCTTGAAATTGAATTTACTACAAAAAACATAGTTTTTATAATCAATGATATTTTATACTACCACTAGGGAAATGTTCAGTGGAATAAAATGTATCCTATTATCTAAGTCAGTTAATACCCTATATGTATACCAAATTTCATCAAAATCCGTTCTGTAGTTTCGGCGTGATTGACCGACAAACATCCAAACAAAGAAACTTTCACATTTATAAAATTAATAGGATTAATAAGAGGTAAAGTTTCTAAATTTGTTTGTTTGTAGATCTGATCATGAAAATTCTTTCACCTACGCATAGCTACGGCTCTATCATCCATGGGTGACATAGGTTATAATTTAAGCGCTAATGAAAACAGCTAGTAAACATACGAGTATAATTTGGTGCTTATTATGAAAATTTGAAGACGAGTGAAATTTCGTAGAGAGCTCTAAAATACAGCCGGCAAGAGGAGACGGTTACCTCCTTACGTGGGACGTTATAATTGGACCGCCACGACGATGATGTCGCGTTTGTGCGCCCTAAATTAATGAGTTCCTCGTTCACAAAGCCTTCGTTTCCGTATATATCAAGTTTCAAGTTCATTCAATTGCTTTGATATTTTAAACAAACAAATATTCATTAATATCATTTACGTGTCACACCCATTTGCTTATTACAAACTTTAAGCTTTAATAAATGTTCTAAATTTGATAATTTGTATCGGTAATATCGCTTTAAAATATCTTTAAACTAAACTAAATAAAAATTATAATAGACCTTTGTGCAACCGGGTGTATGTGTTATTTATATGTGAAACAACGTCTGTACCATAATCAAAATCAAAGGAGAATATGGGAAAGTCTTACCCGGGACCATAGATACACTCGGCCACGGAGCACGACAAAATTACATGTGAATTTTAGATTTCATTTTAGTATGAAACGACGACTAACCAATGTTCGTTTGTTTATCTATACATAGGAGTAGTATAAAACAAAGTCGCTTCCCGCTGTCTATACGCTGAGATCTTTTAAACTACACAACGGACTTTTATGCGGTTTTCACGAAGGGTTTTAATCAATATACAGAGTGAATCGATAGGAAGGTTTATACGTATGTGTCAACGCAGGCGCAGCCGCTGGCGTAAGGCTAGTTGGTAAATAATAATAAAAAATTTTGAGTACATCATGTAATCCTAATAACAGGAGAGCTGGCGTCGATAATCGACAAGAGCTCAGTATGGCGTTGCCTTGGCCTAACTTAATATGGCGTTATAATGAGTGTGGTGTACATGAGTCAACACCCACTCGCAAAGTCAGGTTCGTGGCCTTGGATTATGTAAAATTACAGCATACTCTAAAAGTGTTTATTATTAGTTGAAAAATTGAAAAAAAAAGTATTTATAGTTTACAAAAAGGGGTGAAAGTGGTCAGACCATTATTGTGGAACACTGCGAGTCAGCACGCTATATAAGTTGTCGCCGGAACGATGTTGGTACAAGAGCTTAGTAACTAAAATTGCCATAATGTTTATTATTACATAATGATTTAATAAGAAAACAGATTCACAACTTAATGGAACGGAGGTAGTCAGCAGTCGCTTAAAGTGCGTCCGCGGTTTGGCTCAATAATAAGTGGTATTAGAAAGTTGTTATTTGGCATGAGAATAGACGTTAATTTCACCGACAAAAGGGTACAGAAAAATTTCGATAATTTTTATCGTTTTCCCCATTGTGTGGGGCATTGGATAGGTCTTTCAAAATTATTGGGGGTTTGGGAAGGGGCGTTTCTCTGGAACTATAAATTTTGATGAATATTTCGTTAATTAGGATTACATTTTGACTATCTCTGAATATATTCAAATGTAGAAAATGTTTAACAGTGGACCGTGCAACATTTAGGCATTAAGTCATTATATTTGCCGGATTGATCTGTGGGATTATTGATGGCGTACCCCCAGCTGCATAATAAAAGCTTCCACACTGAATAATGACGTCGCGCGGACACAATACCCTCGATCTATGGCATCATTATGGGACACATTCCTCGAACATTGTTCACTGTTTGTTATCTCCGAAAAATGGCAATTTATTTTTACTAGCTTTCCGTCTGGGTGTTATATAAGAAATTGTTGAGCGGGATAAAAAGTAATCTATATGTTAATTCAGCTTTTATAATTATCTTTATACTAAATTTCACCAAAATCTATTCAATAGTTTTAGGGTGAAAGAGTAACAACGTACATACATCCATACACACATCCTCCCTGACAAACTTTCGCAATTATAATATTAGTAGGATAAGGTTCAAATGTCTTTGTTATTACAAACGCATTTGTAATAGATAATCTGTCATATATGTAATAAAACTTACTTAAACTTATAACTATGATAACTTCCATATATAAGAGTACTCGCAATCACGTAATCTCCAAGCCACCAATCAGTTTCACGATTAAACTTACGAATAGAAAATTTCCTTGTTCAATACATTTTTATGCACGCTGCATGTGATGTGTATATTGATGATAATTTCCCACCGAGAGAGTGTTTCTTTCTACATACGCATTAGATGTAGTTCACA